GCGGATGGTCGGAGGAATCCTGACCGGTCCAGTCCCCACCTTGCCCTGCTTCAATGCAGCTTCACGCTCTTCGGGGGTCTCGGTCTGCCCCATGCTCACGCCGTGATGGGTCATCATGGCCTGGCATTCTTGGGGCAGGCGTGGCACGACACCACCAAGAGCAAGAGTAGCAAGCCTAGCGGCTAGCGTTTTTCCATAACTCCAAGAAAACATAGAAAACCTTCAGCTTAGGGAAGAGGAAGTCTCACAATAGTGAGTACACAAGAGATCTACCGGAACCTGGGGAGGTTTGCATCGGACGAAGTCGGTGGTTTGGGATCCAAGGAGGTCGCCAGACACTTCGCCCACGTTCGCCCAGCGAACTCCTTGGATCATCCTGCCACGGACGGTGGCCACGGAGTGAGTCAGTCCGTGTCACCTCCAAGTACTTCTTCCGCCACTGTCCATCTGCATATTGATGCAAGAACTGCGGCACACTCCCAGGTCCATCTTGCTGCACGAAGGTACCCTGTGAGGTGCACAACAGGATGAGGTTCTTTGGATCGTCCCAACTCCTGGCAAGGGAGCTGAAAACCCAGCCACCCATCCATAGCCATGCCCCATGGCCATGCCCCACCAGGACCTTCCAACAGGTGGTTGTTGCCGGGTGGGCACCGCTGCGCACCTCTGGTCACCAGGAAACACCTCGACTGGAGGGTCCGGGCATCTGTGGCTTACATCAGGATTCTTAAATGGCTTGTTGGGAGTCCTTTTCGTTGGAGTTGCTCCAGTAAATCCATTCACCTTTCACAAGCAAAGCCAGTCATCACCCATTCAATCCCTGTCTGTCTTCAACCGGTTTGGTACAGGTTTTACCCAACTCCTGGTCTGGTAATTGAAGGTGTCCGGATAGAACTCCTTCGCCCGCCCGAACAAGCCGCCCTTCTCCACAGGTAGGAATACCGCTTGAAAGCGAATGCCCACACTGTGATCCCGGGCGCACAAAAGGGAGGTGTTGCCAGGGATGCTACCTGCATAGCTGCCATACTTCCCGAAGTCGGTCAAATACCTGCTCGACCGAAATGCGGCTCGACCGGCTCGACCTATGTCGACCCAGGTGGAGGAGAAAAGAAATCGTCCACAGATCTCATAGCCATTCCCACGGATTTTGGCAATTTTCTCTCCAAACTCGATATTAAAGGGGCCACATCACCTGAAATCCACATGGAGTTCTTTCATGCAGGCAGGATCGAAGGGAGAAAATTCCATAAGCCCAACCCAACAGCAGGCATTCTCCCCATGACTGGAGAGCAAGGAAGAACAGCTGTAGCACCCCCATGACTGGAGAGCAAGGAAGAACAGCTGTAGCACCATCTGCCATGGGCTGAAGAATGCTACCATTACCTACAATTCTTTCACAAAATGTATAATATATATATATAAGGTCTTTTGGACTGTTTTGGTGGTCCTTTTTTCCTCAATAGACATCTAGAGCGCCCAGAGTGCCCTTTAAACCAAAAAAAGAAACACACAGTTGCGGCCCAAGACGGACCAAGAGACTTGTCCAAGGTCACGGGCTCCAAGGACTTGGAGTTCTCTCCCACCAGCAGCGCCACGTCGGTGGCCTTCACGCGTCCAATGCGTTCGTTGAAGTTCTGGGAACGGACGACCTCAACGTCCGGCGCTGCTTGCAAGCATGAAAAGACTCGATGGCACCAACCACCCTCCAATTGGATTGAAAAACCTCTGAAAAACATGGAGGGGTGGATCAATCAATGAGTCATGAGTCATCATTAGTCTAAACTGAGCTTGCGAGTCCATGCGCGGACTTGCGCCAACCCTTACTGGTATTGGATGGAAAAACCTCTGAACAACAGGGTTATCAATCAATTAGTCTAAACTTAGCTCTGAATGCTCCGGGAAGGCGCTGCGATTCGTTTCTCCTGACTTTGTGAAATGTGAGTTTTCCGTGAACTGGCACGTCGTTCTTCGAGGGACACCGTGAGGACACCGGCTGCTGTTTGCAATTCACTCGCTCTGAGGCGGGTCCAAAAGGATTTGAAGTAAAACATGCAGGAACAAACAAATGTTAAATATATAGATATATACTGTACTGCTATGAACACATTCATATATATATATATATATAAATATAACAATGAATGATTCTCATCGGGATTGCTTCAAAGCAATGATGTCTCCGAAAACTTGTCCATCCCACGCTCCCACGAGCTGCGTCCTCGCGGCCAGAAAATCTTCGCCGTCCTTTCCCTTGAGGCGCGCATCGGTGATGTTGCTGCCCCAGCAACTGCCCTGCTGCCGCTGATTGTCGTTCCATGATACGAAGAGAGCCTTGTAGTTGGGATTGTGCTGTTGGCAAACACCTCAGGCTGGGCCCGGCAGATCGCACGGCGGATGGATGGCAGAGAGGAAGTGGCGTGAACCGAGTGAACTGCCTCCCTTTTGCATGTGCATTCCCAGTGACGAGGGGGAGGCTGGAAGGTTGCAAGAGGATGGGTCATAGGACACGGTTTGACCACAGAAGAATCAAGAATTAAGCAAGAATGCTCCTAGTAGCGTCCATGCTCCTAGTAGTACGCGTCCTTGCTCCTAGTAGCGATGCCAGGAGCCCCTAGTAGCTTCTTGTCACTCAAGAAACTCATTGAAGCACATCCAAGATGCTGTTGATCTGCTGCTCCATGTTGCCAATCACTGTATCACGCTTCGGCGCGACACCAGCCCCGAACAAGCTGTTCAAGGCCATGAGGAACTAGGCAAAGGCTGCGTTGGGAAGCTGGCAAGCGAGATCTGAGTTTGAGCCGCTGGTCTTTCACAGCAAAAATGCACACCGCCAAGCCCCTGCCAACAAGCGTCACTGTGCGAACAAGGAGCAGCAAGAGAGCCAAGAGTTACCCACAAAAAAAACAAACTGCATTTCGACTATGGCACAACAATGGGTCGCGACCTGTCGACGGTCCCATCTGTTGGGCATCTCCATGTACTCTTCCCTGGGCCCAGTGGATGATGGTTCAGTTGGCCGGCCTCCATCTCTTTCCACTCGTGGTTCTTGTGTACCGACTGGGCCGTCATGGGACACCCCAACATGCTGCTCTTCCATCCCCCGTCCAAGCTCGCTCCTGGCTCGGTCCAGGCCCTCGGTGTGCCTCCGGATCTGCGGGCGCTTGGGATCCGTGATCGGGGCAAGCAGGTTCTTTGACCTAAGAACTTGCTCCACCTTATAGACTTCCATCTGACCATGAAAAGAATGGGAACGACCTGGTTTTTGGTCATGTACAATCCTTAGTTGATTCGGGGCTTAGCCTATTAAACTAGTTGTTGGAAGCCTAGGGTCCATGAAGACGATGATCCCCATGTTGGATCGGAGCTCAGGGCCAGGGCGGCCAGGGTCGATCTCATGCGAGACGATTTCACCACCTTGGTCTCTGGATGAGGTGTGGCGGATGAAAAAAACCCTGCAAACCTCCTCCTCCAGATTCCTCCAGTATCCTTGCCACACCCTGGCACAGCAACCACATCCTGATCCTTTCCCACGTGCCTCCACCAGTGCAAAGCTTTTCGCACGAGGCAGTTCTGGCAGGTCAAACTCGTGCAACTCCGAGCTTCTGCCAGCCACGCCAAGCTGCCTTGGGACACATCGACCAAGGACGCGGTCTCGTCGGTGGCACCCAATGCTGCACCATCTCAGCAACCCCCAATGCCGGCGCAGAAAGAAGCCATCGTGCTTCGAATGGATCCGAAGGTGAACGAGGAAGTGAAAAAACGATCGTCTTCCACATGCTTTCCACCCACATGCGCCCACGCCCCCTCCTCGTCCTCTTCAAGACTCACTGCCACTGCCCGGGCGAGGCGCCATCGCCCTTCCACGCCCAGTGTTCGGCAGACCGACCGGACTGGCGGTGGAGGCCTCATGTCAGTGACACCCTCTGACTGGAGACCAGCTGGTAGTAAGAGATCTGCAAGTAAGTTGATGGGTGCCTGGAAAGTTTGGGTGTGATGTTCATCTTCCACCAGGGTATCATGCGAGAATCTCATCAAGCTCCACTTCCGGCTCCCCCCCCCTCCCAGGTCCTTTTCGCTCCAGGCTACTCCTTGCCCTCTTCACGGGCTCCAAGAGTCGAAACTCCAAAGCTCCAAGCGCCATGGTCATCACATGCATCGATGTAGCTCTGAGCCCACACGTGGCGGCGCATCGGATCTCCGGTCGGGCTCGGGTCGGAACAACGCGACACGCGCGACGCGGTGCTCCGCGGTGCTCCGCGGTGCTCCGGTCCGGAGGTGGATCGGTCCAAGGGATGCAGGACGAATGGACAACGGTGGAAACAGGCAGGGCCGCATGGGGCCGGGCCGCTGCCTTCGAAAAAGGGTCCCCGACATGTTGGACTCCGCTAGGGACCGAACGATCCAACCAAAGGGCGCGCACGTCCCAGCATCGAGGATCATGTCCAGACTCTCTGTGGGCTCGGGAGGCTCGGGGTCTGGATGTTGTGTACTGCGGCTGCCCTCAAAACTTGGGAGAAGAACCCTGTCAGGAGACGCCAAAAGGGTCTTTCATCGACGACTCAGAAAAAGACCTCAGAAAAAGGAAGCCCCCCTTCAAACTCTAAGTCTCCAGTCAGTCTGCTTCTGTGATCTTCCGTGTGCCTGTTCTGAGAACAGAAGCAGCGCCTGATCTACATCACACCCAGCCGGTCCAAAACCAAAATGAATTGGGGGAAATGCCAAGGCTACCAACCCGGATGCCACTTCTCCGAGCTCGTCCCAGGATGCTTCCTTGGCTCCGGCCTGTCGTGAAGATGTCGTGATGAATCAGCGATGCGTCCGCCCTCTCCGCCCGGAAGGCGAAAGTCTTCCTCTCCTCTCCTCTCACTCCCGAACCATTCCCCCCTGGGCAAACTCAAAAGGGAAAAAGACCAAATCTCCCCCAAAACACCGTGGGACCTCCACGGGATCCGAATCCATCCCTGCTTCCTGGGCAGTCCCTCCGGCTCGGCACCCCTGGCCGTGAAGTTGGAAGAGATGTGGCTGGACAACAGAGGCGCCAAGACCAAGAGAGGCACCACCTCGGTGCATCCCGGCATGAAACGTGCGGCGCGAAGCGCGGTGCAACTCGCTGTTCCACGCGCCGAACGGGTCATGGCAGGGGGGTGCAGGGGGAAGTTGGAAGGTCGGCGGTGGAGAGTGAAGCCGGAAGGCAGGTGGGACCGGACTGGAACGCTGCCTGAGGCCTGAGGCCCTTTGTGAGAAGCATGACCTCATGCTGTGAGGCACACACCACCACCATCGCATGGAAGTGGATTGGCATGAAGACTCGGAAGACGCTTCCCTAACTATTGGTGAGATCGCGGTGGATTGGTCAAGATCGATGGTATCTGCCTCATTCTTCGCCTGGATCACATGCAAACCCGTGGTGTTCAAACTGCCCTGAATGAATTCCCAAACAGGTCAAAATCGGCCCCCCCTGTTCAGGGACCCTTGGCCTTGCGAATTCCTCCATAACCGATAACCCTTCGTTCTCCAAGCAAGGTTGTTGCACCCTTCTGCACCACCAACATATACCAGGACCCACGGTCGCTTAATGGACTTAACATGACTTATTAACCTCTTTTCGGTGCTAAAAACTAGACACCCCATGGCCAATTGGCCCTGGTATGCCCTAATGCACCAGAAACCCCAAATCAACCTGGCCCCGCCAGTAGAACTCCACCAACAAAACCACCCGCCACCGCATCACCACCCTCCACCACTCCCGATTTGACCCCCAGCTAGGCCCTGGCACCGCCATATCCTGAAAGAGCAACACGCCCAAAGACCTCCGTCACGCCGACCGGTCGGTTGGTCGCGGCCGACCGGTCGAGTGGTTTAGAGTTTAGGGTGGTGTCAGTGAAAGAGGTTCGATGGGATGGCACGTTTGTGACCCCAAGTTTGGTGGTTTAGATGGAGCCCCCATGAGCCCCCTATAGAAGTCTAAGGCATCTTTGGGGTGCCAGTGCCATCTATTCTGAAACCACGGTCATGAAGTGGCATCATTTGACACATCATCATTCTTGAACGTCTTGAATTGTCAAATCAAGGAATCTACAGCAAGAAGTCTATGGTCCCCAGTTGGAAGTCCCTGGCAGGCGAAATCTTTTCCGGATGACGTTTCCAGCGCCAACCCATATACCCCTCGAAGCCTTCGCTCAAATCTGAACCCTGGTCATTCATCTCAAGGTTCTTATATATGGCCTCTCTGAGTGGGAAATAGACCTCGCGCGTGACTCGCCTCGGTGGTGGTGCCTTCCCTCATTGCGAACGTCACCGTGACTCGGAGGCGGAGTGCTGCATCGAACAACGCCGGCGGCGGACCGAGGCCCGAGGCGGAGGCGGAGGCGAATCGGAGGCAGAGCGAACGAGCTCACCCACCGGTTTCATCATGAACTTTGTGACACATACAGAGGAAGAGAGAGAGAGAGAGAGAGAGAAAATGAGGGGGAAAAAGTGTATATAGGTTTTTGTATTACACACATATATTCATATATAAATTGAATCCTTACCAAATGTATGTGTATGCTATTGCTTGAAAATGAATTTACAGTAAATTGGATTCGAGTGGTGAGTGTTGACCTGCAATCTCTCAACCACCACACCCAGGAGTGTTGATTGACACTCTGACTTCTGAGTGCCCTTGCGCTCGCCCAAAGCGAGTTCCCAGCTGACGCTTGTCTCGCAACAGTTGCAACGCAAAGGCCTCCGACCGAGCACGTGTCGCGGGCGGCGGTCGTTTGAAGCGAAGCATCTGGAAAATGCCTGCCGGTGAGCCCTGCCAAGTCCATCCAGCCCCCTACCAGGTGCCACTGCTCCCTTCCCTTCATCCTCCAACCGGGCCACCAACAACCAACCGGCCGAGGCCCCCGACGGAGCTCGACAAGGATAAGCCGCCTCCCATCAAAATGCATCCGCCCAGGTGGAGCCTCGGGCAGAGCCAACGCCTCAGCTGGCTGACAGCGGATGGAGGTGAGGTGCTTCATCTCCGAGATGGAGGTGGACTGGACCTTCTTGCGAGGCGAAACCATTTCCATCTCCGCGCCATGCTCCCTGAAGTTCATGGGCAGGAAGACCAAAGCCGGCCACTTGTTCATTCAACAGGAGCGATGTCGGAGTACATGGCACACGTCGTCGACCGTCTGAGTCTCTAATGAGTCTCTGGGTTGGCCGCTGTGCAACTCAGGAGATGAGTACAGTAGATCAGTGGGATCCATCCACCCCAAGTAAAGGCTTCAACATGGTTCAACCACGGAAAAAACCTCAAAACCTCTGACACCACCGCAGGTAGGTCTCTTCTGTTCTTCTCACCCTCCGCTGTTTCGACCAACTTGGGCCCACCAGGATCCTTGGCGCGGAGGCTGCGATGATGCCGCCCGTGAGGAAGAATTGGGCCTGGCCACACGAGACGAGGCGAGACGACGCCGGGTTCACGAGGGTTCCCGGCAGGTCCGGCCGGGAACAAAAACCATCCACGTTCGAATGAAGTGCTGAAAGAGATGCGTCCAATCCATTCCAATCCCCCAGCACATGCAACTGGGTGCCCAGAAATTCATTCATCTGACAACCCAAAAAAAGAACCCGGGCACCTGGATCTTGCGTCCAACGTCGTCCCCTGTCGTTCCCGGCGTATCCCGGCGTTCCTCCGCCCTCGCGACGAAGCGTGAATCGACCGGGCGGCCCCGGCCATGCCCAGACCAAAGACCTCAGCAGACGATGGGAAGAGCAGCCGAAGCGGCTCTTCCAGCCGATCACGGCATCAGGGGTGGAAGAAGAAAAGCAGCGGCCAATCGGACGGAATGCCTCATGTTTCATACACGGAAGGAATGCCTCATGAATGTGGGGAAGCCAATTCCCCAACAACGGTGTAGCAGGTATAGAATCCACTTGTCCTGGGGTAGGCTGAAACAATTCTGTTAAGGTTTAACTACACCAGGGTGCATGGGGGTGGCATCTCTTCCAGTCCCTCAGTCAGATCGATCCGCTCCCTCTTGGCCGATCGCTGGAGGATCGCTGGAGGGGTCGGAGGCGTCTTGAACCCTTCGACACGCAGATCGTCGGAGGTAGCAGATCGTCGCTGACCAAGACGGAGAAGCTGCATGCTGTTTAATAGAGTTCCAACTCATCTACTCGATGTGTGACCAGTGGAGGGGGTTCCTTGCATGTACGCGACTGGTCATGTACAACCCAATCGAACCCCATGTCCTCTACACTACACTCTTGGCTCATCCATGCCATGCAATGGGTTCATCCATCCACATCACGATGGCAGGCAGCCCACTGGGCTACCTATTCGCGAACAGATGAATGCCACGTGGCTCGCCACGGCAAGTGCTCCCCCCTGTCCGTTGCCACGGCACATCATTCCGCATGGCAATCACCTTCCGCACGGACAGCTCGAGCCCCGTCCTGGGCGACTGTGGGAGGTGAAGCCGGGTTGAACACACTTGGACATGGTAGACTAGCGTGGTATATCTGATCTTGGCCAAAGGTCTGATTCCTGACATGTTGGAACAATACAGAAACAACCAACTCTTCCTGATGGTTGGGTTTTTCCAGGTGTCCAATGCATGACGATGGAAGAACCAGCACCAGACCCCAGCGGTCTCCCGGTCCATGGGAATGATTCGATCGCTGGAAAAAGGGGGATTCGGTAGTGACAGAATTGGTCTATTGGTCTTCCCTGGTTTTGGCGTGGGAGAAATGATTCGATCAATTGGTCATTCAATCGTCTGGAAGTAGGTCTGAAAGCAAAGAAACAGGACGGCCCCCAACCCTCCCCCCTTTCAGGGATCAAGGGTGCTCCTCTGCACTGAGCCTGTTGCGAGCGGCTCCAGGCCCTAAAGTTCCTCACGCTACGACATCCCAATTGGGGGGGCCCGAATCGTCCAGAGTTGGAAACCTTTCCAGGTTAGGAGATGCCAAGGTACGACTCACAGGTGCCCCAAAGAGGTCTCCATTGGCACCATATCCCTCGATCAAACTGGTTCTGAGAGGCTGAATGGGCAACAAACCCACAACTGGTTCTGGAGTCACCTACTATCTACAGTTCCTGCCGAGAGAACCCTGTTCCCCACCAGAATCCCCCCCCATTCCGCCGTGCTTGGGGTATAAGTCCTCAGCTGAAGGACGAAATCTCGCATCAACCCCGAAACACCATGGCTTGACCGTGGCTTTCCCATCGGTTTCGGCTGCCAACAGAGGTTGAAGGACCCTAGTTCGCCTATCCCATAGGTACCCCAGTAAGGTCCTATTAAGGACTTAACCTCTCTTGGTGCTTTCCGGTGGCTTCTTTCAACCATGGGTCGGTGGCATTTCTATCAAGCCTTCCCTCGCACAACCCGGCTCGCACCACCCGGCTCGCACAACCCGGCTCGCACCCAGGCTGGCTGCCCCGGTGGAGCGGCTCCCCAAGCGCCCAAGGCACTCGAAGAGGAAGAAAATGATCCCAAACTCTGCGATCCGGTGGCTCACGTCCTCAGATCGATAGATCGATGAACACCCGTGGTAGTCCCAGTTTCGCCGGCTTCTTCAAGGCCTACCTTCATCCCAGAAACATCCAGAAATCAAGCCTTACCACCAAACCAATACAGAAACGAGCTTCCTACGTGTTGCCCCGGCTTCGCCCGGGTGCCCACCGTGCACCCGAGCTCCCAGCCGCGATCCAGGGCAAGTATGCTTTGGTTTCTGGTTGCCTCCTCTTTTTTCTGGGGGCACTTTGCTTCGAAGAGGACAGAGAGCCCGCTGGTCACCACCCAGGCCACGCACCACACATCTGCCAGGGTGCAACGTGACTGATCAGGTTGAAGCCTGTCAACGGTTCACCCACTTCGCACGCACGCACGCCCTGCCCCGCGCGTTGCTCGCGCCCTGGGCAGGTCAGAAAGACGGACGTCAAGGGGTGGCTCGGCCATCCGCGCAAACCCCAGGAGCTGGACCCCGAGGCAGCCGCGCGCGACGTCCGACCGGACGCCGGGCGGCCCTGCCTGTCGGGCCCAAAACGAGGCCAATGAGCAGGAACCCCACGATGGGCCTCGGGCGACGAAGAAAGCAACAACGGATCATTGGAATCACTGGAAACTGGGTCATGAAGTCTCCTGAAGAATAACATAACAAGGCATATGGCCTATATTAATACAACAATGTGATCTGATGAGTCATTGGCACTTTTTTTGGTATTTCCATCTGAGATTTAGGGGTTGAAAACAATAACCACACCACCAAAAATGGCTGGTAAAGAACGTGGCTGGTGGCTTCAAGGATGACCTCGCACCAGGAGCATCTAGCAATTGTGGGGAAAACGTCATCGCACGGACATTGAAAACATGGTAATTGGGTGGCTGGTGCTAAGGCAGGGTGCCTGGTTCAAGGTCATAGCTGAGAGGTTGCGCAGGTTTGCTAAGATTCGTGGGAGCCCACAACCTTCCCGGATGGTTTTATTACCGGCTAAAATTACAACTCCCAAGCAGGCAGGTTGCGACGATGGCCAAAAAGGTTCCCCAGCTTTTCTGAGTTCATCTGCAAACAAACACACAGACTGAAGTGTCTGGCATGGCGCTCTTTTCACGGCGCTCGCTGCTCGATCTTCTTTGGCCCCCCTTTGTGGAACCAAGGCCGGCAGTGAAGGCAACCACACCAAGCGGCGAAATCGCTACACTCCCTGGTTTGATGGAAGTGGAAGTTCGTCACCTGTTTGGTCTTTGGAAAAATGTGGTCATCCGAACCCGCGGCGAACCCATTCACATAACCTTGGAATCATTCCAAAGAGTGTAACTACTTCCAACATCACTCCGAAACGGGCCCCTTCCACGTCACTGACGCCGAAAACATCGCGGCATGATGGCACTATAAAGTCAAGGAGAGCTGAGCACTGGGAACTCCGTATAGCTCCTTGCCTTCCCTGCTTTCCATGGGAAATATGGATACTTCCGGCTCCGGAGTCGCTCCCTGAGCTGACCAGCTAGAGAAGACAGGAAAAAGGTGGGGACACCCCCTGATGAGCCTGATGAGTGAGTCGCGCCATGCCGAGAAAAAATAACACTGCCCCAGTTGAACGTCCAAGAGGACTGGCAGGAGGACTGGGCGTGGGCCCAAACTCAGAATCCCCAACCTCTGACTAAACACATCCATCCCATCATCAAAAGCCTCTGACTAAACACATCCATCGACGTGGTCGCCAAAATGGTGAGAACCGGGAGGTTCTTCCAAAATCTTCATGGCAACCTTGCTGAGAACACGGAGTCCTTTTCAGCCCCCCAAAAAATCCACCAATCGGAGCTGCTGGGAGGCATGCGCTACGCCCGCAGAAGGCACGCACCCTCTTCCAAAGATCTAAAGATCTGTTTTGAGCTGGCATCCAGGACGCAGGACTCATAAACCATCTTGAGAGTCGGGTCAAGCTGGGATCTTTGGGGTATTGGAGGTTGTTGGTCTAGAGTTGGTGCCAGGCTTGGTGTTTGGAAGCCGGGACCCGAAGTCTGATCCAGGATCCACTGCTGCCGCAAGCGAGGCCCGAAAGAAGATCTGGGAGCATTTGATCTGGTTGAGCGCACAAAGCACCCTCAACAACATCAACACACCCGCAGTCGTAACAGGCGAGGAAGTCAGCCCGCGAATATCGAACCATAGATTCCATTCGACTCCTGTCCCAACGGCATGGGGCCACCCTGGATGTCTCATGGACATGCTTTCTACCTGGACCATCCTGTCTGGGTGTCCTGGCTGGACTACCCTGCACTACCATCCGGGATCTCCAGGACATCCATCCAGGTCTGGGATGGTCCTGGTAATAAATGAACCTTCTTCTACTTCACAGCCCTTTCTTCCGGTCGTTCGGGCCTTGCGAAACGCCGTTCACGGTTCACCCTTCACTTCTGGTACTCGCCCCACTCGCGATCGTCCCAGATATCTCCACTGCCACTGGGTCGTTGTAGTCTCACCTCGCACGGTCGACGTCCGTCGGTCCACAGAGTCAAAGAGTTCGCATTCTTCCCATGCACAAGTGGGAAGAATGAGTTGATTCCGCCGGAATAGTGGTGAAGGGTCGGAGGGTCGTTGGGGTCGGAGCTTCTCGTGGGTCGTTCGGCACGCGGCCAACGGTCCGATGCTCTTGGTCGCGTCCGATGGGGAGAGGTGACCGGAACTTCGTGGCCCAGTTCGGTCACTGGGCTCTCAAGTGGTTCGGTCACTGGGAAGGTCCCCCATCCACGGATTGTTAGGGGTACCAACAGAGGTTAAGTGACCTTATAGGACCCGTAACCTGGGGTACCTATAGTATTATAGGATAGTCTAGTTCGGGTTCTTCGACCTCTGCTGGTATACATCAAGGGTTTGTAACCTCATATCGATGGATGCACCTCTGCCGAGGTGTGTTGCACCCCAGCAGCCCCCAACAGCCCACGAGTACGCGACAAAAAACCGCCAGTGCACCACTTCCGGGAGGCCAATGCCACCCACCACACCCAAGCTGCAGGACTTGAACCTGGATATTGCAATTGGGAATATATCACTTGATTCCATTAGGTTCATGAAGGGAAGAACTTTTGTTCACCTGAGCCTCCAAAAACCTGGGCACCCTGATGAGACGTTTCTTTCCCTCCCTCGCTTCTCCGTCCAATGCCAGAGGACAAATCCAGAATTCCCAGTCGCGGGGACTTCGGACGAGCAGCTTCCATGCTCCCCGCTTTCTCGTGGGAGGCGGAGCTGGGCTTTCGGCCGGGCGTGCCGGTCACGGCCTCCGGTCCGGCCAGGCGTGCAGGACTTCGAGAGGAACTTAGGGACCAGTAGAAGAAGCTGGGAGGCCAGGGGAGGTACTTAGGGACGACTTAGGGACCCTCAAAGAGGTCCCAAACACTGAATCAAGCTGGGAGGCCAGGGGAGGCCAGCTGCGCTTTAACAAAATTCGCTTCAGTTCGGCTCCGTGCCCGTGTTGCTCGAAACCTTTCGGCGGTTCAGCCGTCTCAGACAAGCAGCTTCAGCCGAATCCCGCCGCTGCACTCAGTTCTTCTGTGCGGGGGCACACGGTCCGAAAGCATTTGCTCCAAGTCGGTTCAGTTCCGTGTGGGGTTCACTTGAGGAAGGCCTTCCTGATGTAGTGAGCTTGGGGAAGCCAGGTGAGCAAATCCAACACCCAAAGATACCCAAAGAATCCCAAACAGCCGTTTTGATGTTGATTGACTCCTTCGGAAATTCCGGGACAACGGTCCGGCATGGACCGGCACCCGCCCCCCACCGGCCCCCGCCCCATGTCCGGTGCCCCTTTCTTCGCGCCTCCTTGGGCGGGGTCCGTCGGGGACCTGGAGAAGAAGGGCTCTGGATGGGCGGTGGAGGGGGGGTGCTCGATGGATACCCTACCGGTTGAGGCACGGACCTCATTTTCTGCTGCACCTTCATCACACAAACAGCGCCCAAAAACACCCACGCACCGGTGAGGGGGGTGGACTGGACCCGGGGGACGTCCGGCACGTCCGGTCGGCCGCCAGGATTTCGCCAGTGGCAGCACCAGCACCAGCGGCCCCGGCCGGTGAACGAGGAGAAGTGACGATCCGTTCGGGTCCAAAAAGGTGTGCATGCTCAAAAAGCCAGCGGGGGGGGGGGGGGGCTGCGGCACCCGCTTCGCTGGTGAGACCTGGGTGCGCCGCACCAGTTGGCAGGAACTTCGGCTGAGTCCCGATGATGAGACCTGAGCGCTCCGGAGGTTGGTCGTCGAGCGGGAGGGTGGAGAGGAGTTCGACCGGCCCAGCACGGCCCAGCACGAGGGGTCGACCTGGTGTCGAAGAATGCGCGGAAACACCTGCGAGTGGCCGGTCTTCGGATTTGTTGGTCGGGTGACCGGGTCTTTACCTTGGATGTCTTCGGCACACAAACAGGCCTGTTCAAGGGCACCCCAGTCATCAAGAAACCCACGAGTTCCTATCCATGGAGGAAGTCTGGGTGCCTGTCACATCCACTCTTGGATCTCATTGGAGGGAAAACTAGATCACACCACCCAACTCCATGTGACTCCTGGTTCTCCACTTCAGCGAGGTTCTTTTTCACTTCGCCCGTCCCTTTCTACCTCTCATTCTCTGCTACCGGCGTCGTTCTTTTCCGGGTCCCAGCACCGTGGGACGTGGTCTCCGAGAAGTGCGGGCCGGTCAGGTTGCGGGGCCTGCAGTGGGAACGACACTCGGGCTCCACGGGGGTCGGGAGTGAAAGGCTCGGTCCGCGGGCGAGACGAACACGAAGTGAGTTTGGGGGACTCTGAGCCTGGAGCCTGCGGGAGGCATCGAATCCAAATCATTCTAAAACTGGTGTGTGATAAAAGAGAGAGACCTTTCCGACCAACAAGGGGAAGGGAATGTCTGAAATCCTTTTGCATCGCAAACCACGGCACCCCGCGAAAGAAACTGTGCTTGCTCTGCTTCCTGCGCTTGTTAAAACCAAACTGCCCCCACCCCGCAAAGCCAGGGCCATAAGCACTTTAAGATGGCAACCCGGCGTTCGCTTTGAAGCAACTGCAAGTTCGCACGCGCTGAACAAGATCATGACTGTGCAGAACATGTGTTCACTGTGCTTTGAAGTACTGCAAATCATTGAGTAAAGCGTGCGCGCGCAGGCTTTTCTCCAAACAGCTGTTTTCCAGCGGCCTTTGCAACACAGTCGTCAGGTCAGCTTTGAAGACAATCTGGAATCTGGAGGCCTCTTGTCCACATGTTCAAGGCCTGGCTTCCGTTTCAAGGGGCCAGACTTGTAATACAAGAGCTCTTGACTCTTGACGTGCCATTTGGCTTTCAGTGGGGGGGCGCTCCTAGCCGCATGTTGGAGATTGGCTATCCTGTGCCACGTGTCAGGCAACTTGTCCATGGGTGGCGGACTTCGTGCAAGTGCAAGCCGTCACGATCGCAGGCAATGTGAAATAAATATGGCGGCTCCTCGTGTAATCGATGTTGGCTGGGACACCCCGCAGAATTGAAACCTATATACTAGCTGTTCAGACTCCCTGATGGCCTCCAATGTGTTGGGATTGAACAGAATCGGTGCTGGGTCCTGGAC